TAAGGTCACTATGAGTCGGTACCAACTCGATGGCACCTAACAACAACAACATATATTTTCCAGTCTCAGCAATGAACTCGTCAATTTAATAGGAAAAATATTAAATGTCTTCAAGTCGGTTCCGACTCACAGAAACTCTGCATAGATTTTCCGAGGAACGGCTGCTGAGTTTGAACTGCTGACCTTGAGGTTCTAACCAACCTTGCAGTCCACTGCTTTACCCTACAGCGCCACATCAGGACTCCAATGGGAGAAATACTCGGATGTATTTTTTTAGTTGCCTTGTTAAGTGAATGTTATGTAGCACTGTAAGATAAGCACTCCACTGCAAGGTCGGTTTAACTACAAGGTCAGTGGTTCAGACTCCCCAGATGCTCCTCGGAAACCCTATACAGGGTTGCTGTGAGTCAGAACCAACTTGACGGCACTTAACAACAGCAATTAGCATTAAACATTAGCAAAAATTATTGTAGCAGCTACTGTATACTTAGCAAGAGTTGCTTGGTTTGTTCTCTAGTCCAATCCTTTGGCCTTTAGTCTACATTTGGATACTGTCAGCAGTTCCCTTGGCCTGAACTCTACTGCATGGGGAACACTCTCCATATTTCTCCTCTGTAACCTCTTTCTTGTTCTTGCCGCTTATATTGTCATTATTGTTAAGTGCCATTGAGTTGGTTCCAACCCATAGCAACCCTGTATAGCAGAACAGAAAAGATGGTTTAGTAGTTTCTCAAAATATAAAGCGTACACTCACATCAAAGAAGTTTCTAAACCATGAACGGAGGAGAAGCAAACGCCCTAAAACAGATACTCAGTAATCCAAACCCACTGCTGTCAAACTGATTCCAACTCATAGACAGGAGTCCTGGTGTGGTCTTAAAGGATAATCACTTGACTGCTAACCATAAGGTCAATGGTTCAAACCCACCAGCTGCCCCTTGGAAATCCTACACACAGGGCAGGATAGCTATGAGTTGGAATCAGTGTGATAGCACACAACAACACAGGGAGGCATTCAGCTTACTAGAACTTGTGGAAAGGAGTGAAGGAGAAGAAAACAGAGTAATTGGATTTCATTAAACATCGCAAATAATTTCAGGTGACTGCCAACTAGAATTTTTTCACAATTCATTTTGATAAATGTACAATTTCAAGTTCATTGTAGACCACCAGCTCCTGTTTGGACATGATCTCTTCTCATGTCTTCATTATTGTTCCATGTTTCCCACGTGTATATTTCATCTTTTTAGCAATTGTCCTTTGCCATTTCTTAATCTTTGTTGACTCTTCTTATCAACAGAGAAATTAAATTATTCAAATACCCTTTGCTGCTCAGGTATCATTCTCGTTTTTCACTGTCTTGTGACTCTGCCATTGGATCTTTTTGCCCAATAGTGGCCTGTGCCACCCGCAGGAAAGAAAGCAGTCAGGAAAAGTCTAGGACTGACACATGTCTGTGAGAAGGGTGGGCGTAATGTGTATTGGATTATTGGAAATGTCTTTGAAACCTTTTTCCGAATGGAAGATGCCCGGTTTGGATTTTATGACCTTCTAATGTCAGGCCATAATCTCATTGAGCCTTTTCCCAAAGTGAAAAGCGTGCATTAGGGCAGCATAACAAGCCTTGAGGATCAATACGGAAACAGTGCTTCACCCCACAGATGAATCCATGAGGACGAGCCAGAGTCTGCTGCAGAAACGGGGCAGGCAATGAGATGATGTTCTACCCTCCTTCTCCCACTCTGTCAGGGACTCATCAATACAGGGTGAAACGTCTGCAAAAAGAATTTCAGAAGACAATCGTGCACACACACAGAGGGGAGGGAGCGAGAGAGACGAGACCTGCAGGAAGACAAGGGTACTGGGAGTGCGTCGTATTGATCGGTGGCGATAAAAGTATATTTTGACATATTTCAAATCATAAATAACTCATAGACTTTAACGTGCGATGCTAATAGCTCAACATGGGTAAATGCTTATCTGCAGCGTAAACGACGTCTTTCTAAAGAGCCCGTAGTACTGGATGAATTCTCTCATGCTGATGTCTTTTTACCAGGAGAAGGAATTTTCATCTTCATTTCAATATTCCAAATGGGAAGCTCAGTCTTCACCATCCTTGATTGTAGGTGAGGGGGGTCAGGGTTCCCTTAGTCTTCCCTCCCCCTTCTTCTAAATCTCAGCTACGTTGTGGGGACGATCTGTTCTCAACCCCAGAATAGAGTATTCCACCGCTTTCCTGTGAACTGCTAGTATCATTATCCCAGTATTTGCTGGCTTCTGCTGACCTGAGGCTGAATCATATTTTATTCAATGTTTATCCAGATGTGGCTGTTGCTGTACTTAGTCAGTTAGTGCTTATGCCCTGGAAGCACCACTGACTCCTTTTAAATGCTGATTCTCATGATGGGAGATTAGGAAAATCAGAATCCACACAAGAGCCACAGACATCCAACTCTGAAATCTTGAAAAGAATGGAAACTCTTGGGATTGGATATCAATTCTCTTCCTAGGTCTTTGACACAGAAGCAAAGCAATGAATGAGAAAGAATGAACAGTGTTATGTCAAATTGAGGGATTTTTTTCCCCCTGTATGTTTACTTTCTTTGGAGGGTTGTTGTTGTTGTTGTGGTGGTGGTGGTGAAGTGCCATGGAGTCGGTTCCGACCAATAGTGACCCTGCATAGGGTTTCCGAGGAGCAACTGGTGAGCTAGAACTGCCGACCTTGCAGTTCAAACGGCTTTGCAGTCTGGCACATTAACCCAGAGCCCCACACCAGGACTTTGGGTAGTAGGGAGTAGATCCCCTCAGGGGCCAGTAACGTGGTTTGAATTTCAGTTTTCTCTTCTAGCAAAAATATATATTAGCTTAGTGTGATGGATAAGAGTAATGAGGAGATAAATCATCACAAAGGAGTTTCCTTATTGATAAGAAAAATTCCCCCGTGTTCTCCTGCAGTTTTTTTTTCCCTTTTTCTTTTAGAACCCATTAAACTTAAAATAATGCTATTCCAAGATTACCATGGAAATAACAAATTTCCATTTCAAAAGAAGAACGGGATGGGAAAGACTGGAAGCTTTTTGTACTAAACAAAACGAAATTTGAAGAAAAATATGTGGCTCATTAGATTTAAAGTGATAATGTTATGTATTTTCTATGGGTGCGTTTATTTCATTTACTTGAAGTCTGTCTCCCTTTGTAACAATAATATTGGGTTTCCCTTTAGATAATAAAATTCACTTGGTTTATTTTGTTATGATCATTTCTCAAGTATGTATTATAAACTAGTTTTCAAGCATTTCTGTTGGGTGTACAGCATTTATACCCAGAGCAATCTGACCAAAATCAGAGGTTTGTAAGCATAGCTGATAAAAGTTTTGGGCCCAAGGAATTTAAGCAGTTTTTTCTTCTTTCCACCTATTTGTAGACATTCAGCCAATATTTATTGTGTGTCTGTATCTGGTAGTGGAGGTTCCAAAGGGCGTAAGCCACAGTGCTCATTGCATGGAATGTACGGTACAGCCCACGTGGGCGACTAAATAAATGGCCCTCGAGTGTTGTATGGTCAGTAATACGTGCAGCAATGTGGCAGAAATGAATGTGGAGTCGGTGGACCACCAGAAAGAAATGATGGATTCTGCTAGGAAAGGGAGAGCTTGTGGAAGCTGTAGGGAGAAGTGTACCCTAGAGTGGTTTCCAGGTGCACAGGTGCAAAAGCCCAAAGAGACACGTCACAGCCAAGCTTGACAATGGTCCGGCCAAGCTGCATGGTGGGCAGTGAAGGCTGACCAAGAGCCTGACCAAGGACCTTTGTACTCGATTTAGGAAGCAATAGGGAATGAATGTGTCAGGAGTTCTGGTAGCGTAGTGGTTACGAGTCGGACTGCTGGCCTCAAGGTCAACAGTTTGAAACTACCAGCTCATTGAAGAAAGATGAGGTTTTCTGCTCCCATAAAGATTTACAGCCTCGGAAGCCCTGTACAAGGTCACTATGCGTTCTGGAACAGACTCCACAGCACACTACCACAACCACAACAGTGTGGTGCGATGGGCTAATATGCTGGACTGCAAAGTCAGTTTGAACTTCAACGTCGGCATGTTCAAGCTCACAAGCTGCTTCTCAGAAACCCTATACAGGGTCACTATGAGTCGGAACCAACTCCACAGCATTTAGTAACAACAACAACAACAAAAGGAATAATATTCTCATCCGATTTGGGTCTTAGAAAAAACCCTCTGGAAGCTATGTGGAGGCTGCAGCAGAGAGCCAAAGCTGAGGGACCCATTTGGGGCTGGGGGAGAGGGGTGCACTGCCTGGAAGTATGTGTAAATAATAATGATGAATGAATGGAACAGTGCTGAGTGAGGAGAAGGACCAGACTGCAGGGATATCAAACCTTGTGACCAACTGGGTGTGGGGATGGAAAGAAAACATCATGATTCCCAGGTCCTTGTTGAGGGGCGGTGGAACCATTCACATAGTTGGGTTTGGGGTTTGGGGGGGAAGTTTATCATTGTTACACTGCCATCAGTTAGTGGAACTAATTTCACAGAATTAATTGACACCGTGTGCCTTCGTATCATAGGAACAATACAAGTCGCTGTCTTTCTTCAGAGCTTGAAGAAAATGGTTTCTTCAGTGTCTTTCCACATATGCATCATTGAATTCTGGTTTAATGTTTTATATGTTCTTTCATCATGATCCTTCTGACTGCAGATCATTTACCTCTCGGCTCCCTCTTCTTCCTTCCAGGCGGTATGATTACCATCCCATCTGTGCTGACCTGCAGGCCAAAATTCTCCAGTGTTACCGCCAGAACGCCCAGCAGACCCTCAGCTGCTCTGCTCTGGCAGCCGAGTACATGCAGTGTGTCAACCGGGCCAAGCAGGTGGGTGTGGGAGCCGGGCACCGGGGGCTCCAAAGTGAATGTGTATAAAATGGCTTCTTGTCCTAAACCAGCCACCATCAAGAACAGTCACCCGGCGTTAGACTGGTCACAGTGGAGGAAGAGTGTATGTTCTTATTGGATTCTAGTCATTTACTCGTCCCCCTCCCCCAAGGGAGTCCAGTGTGGTGCTGGACTGCTAACTGTAAGGTTGGCAGTTCATACCCACCAGCCGCGCTTTAGAAACCCTATGCAGCAGCACTGAGTCGGAACCAACACAGTGGCACTTAACAACTCTCACCACCAAAAATAAAAGAGTTCTGACTGAAATGACTAGCTTTTCCAGTTGTCCCGTACGTGTGTCCTCTTCTGATGTAGTAGTTGTAGTTTAAGTGCCGTTGAGTCAGTTCCAACCCATAGCTACCCTGTATAGGGTATCTTAGTAGCCTCTGGTGAGCTTGAACCACTGACCTTGTGGTTCAAACAACTTTGCTGTCCAGCACATTAACCCACAGCACCAAATCAGTTCCAATTCATGGTGATCACGTGTGCAGAGTATCACTACTTCATAGGGTTCTCAAAACCTGTCTTCCAAACCATCTCTGGGTATATTTGAACTGCCAACCTTTTTTAGTTAGTAGTCCAGCACTTAAACATTTTCGCTACTTGAACATTAGGTGAAAATCCCAGGATTTTCAGAAAGGACCTCCAGAAAGGTCCAGGGTGAATTAAGTTTATCAGAGTTCACTTATAGAAGAGGCAGCTTTTGGGCGGCCAGAGAGCAGAGTGTGTGCCTGGTTTCCTGCCCTAGTGGAGAGAAGGTGTCGTTCGTATGTTGTTGTTGAGTGCCATCAAAACAGTTGCTACTGATAGTGACCCCGTATAGGGCTTGCAAGGAGTGGCTGGTGGGTTTGAACCGCCAACCTTGTGGTTACCGGTCCATTGCTTATCCTACAATGCCACACTAGGTAGAAAGGACAAAAGTGGCAGCTGCCAGGTTGCATAATGGGGGGAATCCATGTGCTCGCTTGTTTCTTTTTTACACCTGCAAGGTTCTGGACCTGTCTCTGGATTCCTCTTTGCACATGAGAGTCCTGGGAGGGGACAAGGATGTTTCCTAGTTTCAGCATTTTCCTCCCTTTTGCCCTCTACTGTTGAATATTATAAGGCTGTCCTCAGAGTCATTACCCCAATATTTTTAGGTCAATTTTTCAGAGCCAACCAATAGGAAAGGTAGCTATTCTGGAATCAGCAGCTTCAGGTCCCTAAGCAATGGGTGGCCGGCCGTACCTAGAGCCTGGTGAGAGAGCCCCATCAAGTCTTTCCCTTGTTGGATGGAGTCTGTTCAACTGGCCGGGAAAGGGGGCCCAGAGATGGCACTTAGGAGAGAGGCTCCCTCACTTTTAGACACTAGAGTCGTACTCTTCTCTTGACCCTTCCTGTCAGAGTAATGTGATGTTCTCAGGACCTCAGCTTCCGCTCATGTCTGTACTTTAGAAAAGCTACTGATAAACCCTGGAGTAGATCGTTAATCCCAGCCAATCACATGTCTATCATTTAACAGATTTAGCGGGTGGGTGGCTGTGGCTCTGGGAGACAGAAATTGTTGGAAACCTTGATTCTGTCTGCTAGAAACTGTCTAGAGGTGACCTCTTCACCCAAATAAATGGAGTTTCACACATGTCTTTCTGCTGTCTGATTCGGATTTGCCGTAGCTACCATGACACTGCTTAGTGTAGCTTTCCAACTCACTAAATATTTAACTGGGAGGGCTGGAATTGCCTCGATAGCTGGAAAATAACAACACTGATCCTGGTGTAGCACTGTAGGATCAGCAGTGGACTGGGAGCCTCAAGGCCGGTGGTTCAAACCCACCAGCTGCTCTTTGGAAACCCTCTACAGGGTGGTTATGAGTCAGTGCCACCAACTCGACAGCACTTAACAACAGTCGGAAAAACTAAATATTATCAAGACTGTATTAAATGCCTCTGTTGCCTTTAGAAGCCAGTGGTTTGAGACCCTGTGTGTCTGGGTTGGATCAGCATTATATACTTCGTAGTAGTATACCAGGGTCCATTCGCTAAAGGTCTCCCTTAGAGGGAACACTGCTAATGTCAGGTGAGTACACTTTGCTTATCAAACACAGCTGCCGATGTCTCTTAACAAGCTCTGGCTTTCAATATTAATGCGAACGGAAGCACTTAGGACTGTCAGATGGCACTAGGATTTTCCCAAGTTGGTATTTGTGCCTTATTGAGGTGTAGGGTGGGACCAGTGGAAAGAATCACATGACCAGGGGAGTGTGTTCCACCGCTGCGTCTAACATGCCTGTTTCCATCCTGCTCACCTGACTTGGGTTGAGTCTTCTACATGAAACTCCAGGCACCCAATGGTGTGTATCTGTAAAATAAACAAAGTGAACTTGTGACAAAATCAGTCAGCCATGTGGTGTAAGCGAGCATTAGCCAAGCCCTCTCTCATACTAGCTCTATGACTTTGGGCCTCAGTCTTTCACCTCTGTGAATTGGGGTCACGGTCCCTCCATGGAAATGGTGGAGATTATATTTATAAAGCATCAAGGGAATCTCTTTTCTTTTTTTCTCCCCCTTCCCTTTTCTTCACTCATACGGTTTCATACTGGAACCAACAAAAACAAATCAGCCAAAAGCATGGAATTATTGCCAGTGATACGGGAAGAGACCTTTCCCCTCGTTCCTTCTAATCTGCGCTTTATCTTAATGTTGTAAATGAATGCGATTGTCAGCTAGTATGTTTGGGGTGTGTTCATGGCTCTTGTAGTCAGTTACTGTTGTTAAGTACCATCAAGTCAGTTCTGACTCATAGCAACCCTGTATGGGGTTTCCGAGGAACAGCTGGTGGGTTTGAACTGCCGACCTTGTGGTTCGCAGTCCGGTGCTTATATACTACAGCGCCACACCAGGACTCCAGTCAATGACTAGGGAGTTGATATTAATAGAAAACCAACTACAGTTGCATCGACTCTGGCATCTGGCGCCCCCACCAGTGTCAGGGTGGAGCTGTGCTCAGAGGGCCTCATTGGCTGATTTCTCCATCATGGATCCCTAGGTGCAGACACCTCTGAGCGCACTCGGTTGGTTAGCAGCCTTTTGGTCAGCCACGGAGGTGTTCGATGTTGGCACCACCCTGGAACACGATGCTAATAGAAGATAAAGTTTGAAAGGTCTGTGCCCCTAGGCCCTTCTTTCACACTGGAATGGGCATCAGTGGGCAAGGCAGTATGAGTCTGTGGGGTCTCAGGCTGATTTCGGTTTCATCGTCCTGCTAGTTGTCTGTGACAACCTGAGATGTAAACGAGGGTGGTGTCTCTTTCACCATTTTACAGTTGAGAGAACTGGAACCCAGGGGCATTGAACCATCCATTCATTGGCATTAATAAAACAACAGGTTAGGGTTTGGAGTTTATTTTCCAGTGGCCAAGGATGTGAACGGCTGGCAGGATGTGAACATCTGCTAATGCAGAACTAAGGCAAAGGGGAAAAGGGAGCGAGTCGGGGCGCGGGGACAACATGAGATGGGGGTGCACCATCACGGTGCAGCCCGGCTGTGCCCCATGTTGACCACTGTTGTTGAGTTGATGTCAGCTCATAGTCACCTGGTAGGCGAGAACAGAGATGCCCGTAGGCTTTCCAAGGCTATCATCTTAGCGGACGAAGCAGGCTGCCCTATCTTTCTCCTACAGAACAGATAGTGGGTCCTTCCAGTTAGCAGCCGATTACTTAACCACTGCACCACTAGAGCGTGTCAGGTCCACGTGACGATCCCACCAGAAGGGCCCGAGGAAGCTTCCTCTCTGAGTACTTTCTAAGCCCCGTTGGGTTTTCTTCTAAAAGCAGCTTCTCCCTTGCTCCTTGTGAAGTCAAATTCTTTCTCATGACCCCCAACGTTGTCCCCATTAGAAGAGACTTTGCCAGTTGACATGGTCCTGCCTGTCTATTGTGGGCAGATCCTGACAGGCCAACTCTCCTGCTTAGGTTTCCTATTAAATCTGAAGAACAAGCTGGACACTACTCAACCCCAACTGCCCATTAGGTTGTGCTGTCCATTTCCTGGAATCATTCCAGTGGCCAACTCCATTCCAGGTTCAGATGGCTCCTAAGATTGGGCTTTCAGAGTTCCCTGGAGGCATGGGGCTGTAGTCTAATCGATTTTACTGATAGGAAACTCTCCGGATATCCCTTAGCCTGACTCTTCCCTTCTTCTTCCTCATCCACTTATTCACATCAGTCTGTCTTCATCTATTCTTAAACAATTCCTTGTGGGTTGACATGGAACATTCAAACTGTTATTTGCAGTATATTAAGTTATCTGTTTTTCATAAGAGTAAAGAGACATTAGAATGTATTAAAATGCTCTAATTGTTCGTTCTGGGACTTAAGAGCCCCCAGTTAGCTGTCTGAGAGACAGCATTTTCAGATGGAGAATATTGATTGATACAGACCTTTTGCCTTTTATTTTTCATATCTGCTTAGCCTCATTGCTTTTTCTATAAGCTTTCCCAAACTGGATTACCTGCTTTTCCCATTAAACCTTGTTCCCATTCAGTCTTGTGCCTGCCTTACAAGGGGCCACAGAGGGTGGGAAGCTGACTTAGCGCTGGTAATGTTTTGCCTACTAGTGATCCAAATTGTGCCCAAGTACTAATGTTAAAGTGGTGGAAGGTGGGGAAAATGCAGACCAGAATTCAAGATTCTCACAGAAAACCTGAGTTTCTGGGGCCACAGAGACTGAACAAACCCCAGAAACTATTGCCCTGAGATCAGCTTTAAACAAAACCATCCCATGGGATCTTCTCAAAACCAAACATCAGTTTAACTAGTAAAGAATAACCGCCTTGAGGATTGGGCTCTTTGAAGTTACAAGTTGTTGCTGTTGTTGAGTGCCATGCAGTCAGTTCCGACTCATAGTGACCCTGTGTAGGGTTTCCAAGGAGCGGCTGGTGGATTTGAGCCACCGACCTTGCGGTTAGCAGTCCAGTGCTAATCCTACAGTGCCACACCAGGACTCTGTTTAAAATCATAGAGGCTCCAATTGAAAGCTACAACTCACTTGGAAGATTAGACAGGGATGTTCGGGGCCGTGAGTTTCTATTCATGAGGAAGGGAAATGCAGAAAAGGAGGATGAGAATGGTGGCCCATCAGTGCCCCTGAGCAGTATGTGTAGAAGTTGTTAACTTGTTGAATATTCTCAACAATGAAATACCATTATTTTTTTAATGTGAAAAGAATTGGGGGATGGAGAAGCTTTGCTCCCTGGGATACCTACTGACCCGACATTTACGGGTAACAGTTCTAGGCACGTCAGACTAGTTCAGGATTTGTTCACTGAACTTCACAGGTCCTTCCGAGAACATGTTGTTACTGTCAAGTTCTATCAAGTAGGTTCCAACTCACAGTGACCCCGTCTAGGGTTTCTGAGAAGGAGCTGGTGGGTTTAAGCTGCTTACTTTGCAGTTGGCAGCCCAGTGCTTCTCCTCCAGAACCATACCAGGACTCCTCATAGAACATGACTACTGTAAACAACAAAACGCATCTTTATACAGTTGACCTTTGATCAACAAGGGCCACCGACCTCCATGAAGTTGAAAAGCCACATATAACTTTGTTGTTGTTAGGTGCCATTGAGTTGGTACCAACTCATAGAGATGCTATGCACAACAGAACGAAACACTGCCTTGTCCTGAATCAACCTCAGAATTGTTGCTACACCTGAACCCCATTGCTTCCACCACCGTGCCAGTCCGTCTCATGGGGGGTCTTCCTTCTTTTCTTCAACCTTCCTTTTTGCCAAACATGATATCCTTCTCTGGTGGCTGGACCCTCCTGATACTGTGTCCAAAGTATGACAGACAACGTCTGGCCATATTGGCTTCCAGGGAACATTCTGGCTGCACTTCTTCCAGCACAGATCTGTTTGTTCTCTTGACAGTCCATGGTTCTTCCAATATTCTCCTTCAACACCAGAACTCAAATTTATCAGCTCTTCTATGGGCTTCCTTATTCACTGTCCAGCTTTCACATGTATATGAGGTTACTTTTTCAACCATGACTTGGGTCAGGCGCACCTTAGCCCTCAAATTGACATCTTTGCTCTTGAACACTTTAAAGAGGTCTTGTGCAGCACATTTGCCTGATGCAATACAGCGTTGTTGTTGTTGTTGTTAAGTGCCATCGAGTCGATTCTGACCCATGTTGGTTCTGTATAGGGTTTCCAAGGAGCAGTTGGTGAGCTTGAACTGCCAGCCTTGCAGTTCAAGCAGCTTTGCAGTCTGGCGCATTAACCCACAGCGCCACACCAGGACTCCTAACACAACTTCAGACTCACCAAAAACAGAACAACTAGTAGCATGCTTTTGACCCACAGCCTTACTGATCACATGAAAGTAGGTTAACACCATTATTGTATAATACAGTGCGCCCACACGAAAGCTTCATTTTCCATACAAGATTAAAAAAAAGGTTTTTCACAGAAAGTACAAACTCTTCTCACCCCATTTTTCTCTCATGGAGCAGTTGGTGAGTTTGAACTGCTAACCTTGTGACTAGCAACCCAACACTTAACCCACTATGCCACGAGGGCTCTTCTTTTACTTATATGGTGGTGGCGGCGGTGGCGGCGGTGGTGGCGTTGGTGCTGGTGGTGATGGTAGCTTACTGCGGAGTCGGTTCGGACTCATTAGGATCCTAGGGTTTCTGAAGCTGTACAGTCTTTACGGAAACAGAAAGCCTCATCTTTCTCCCATGGAGCAGCTGGTAGATTCGAACTGCTGACCTTGCAGTTAGCAGCCCAACTTGTAACCCATGACACTACCAACAGCACTAAGGTTTTCTAGATCAGTATTTATATCCTTTCTGCTGCCGGTAGAGAACCAGCATTGGTATCTCCTTGGAAACTCTCCAAGTCATCACACTCATGAGCATCCATGTGACCATCTACATCAGTTGATGTTGCTGCACTGACAACGTCTCAGATTTCCTTTGCTTTTTTTCATAGTGGTCCTTGTACTGGATTTACTTATCTTGAAGTGGTGGACAACTGCACTTGCAGACTTCAATCTGTAGGACAGATCTAGTACTTGAACTTGTTCTTGTCCTCTCACGGCTTCTCTCTGCTTCTTGGGAGCACTTCCATCATCACTCGTGGTACTCCATATGGGCCTGTGGTGTGATTCGAGGTTCCTGGTAAACACAATGAAGATTGACTAATGCATGGCTTGGCGACCTGCAGTGTTAAACTACAAGTCTGCTGTGTACTTCATCTCATTGTTGTGCCCAGGGACCTCAGTCTTGTGCCCAATGGGAAGACAGTAAACACCATCCACCAAGTTTTCATTATAAGAACAGCACCAGTCATGATGCGACCCACTGCAAGTGTCAAAGGAAATGACTCATGAAGTGTGGAGGCTGGCCAGTCCCAAATCTGCAGTTCAGATATGAGTCTGGAGGAATCTTCTCACTATGTAGCCTCAGGAGCTGAGGAACCCAAATCGGCAGGTCAGAAGACAGGCTGTTGATGCAAGAGGCTGCGGGAGAGGGTGAATCAGGTCAAGTGATAGCCCAAAAGCCCCATGAACGTGGCCAGACCCAGGAAAATCCCACAGAACAAAAACTGAGGCGTAAGACCACAAACGGCTGCGGGCCAGTCCCCAAGCAGGCCGTCCTGTGATGACCCTGGTGCTCTCTGCCACAGCAATGAGCTTGGTGAATGAAGACAGACCCTGATGTGGAGCTGCATCAGCTCCCTTCTCTCTGCGCTCTCACCGAAAGCCCTCCAGGCCAGCACTGGGAGGAGCGGCCTTCCCTAGGAAGTTGGGTTTGATCTCTCCTGGCACTTGGACCTACATTGGACCAGGACCCGAAAACATCATCAGAACTATGATTGTAAAACCAGCAAGCTGTAGTTGATCACCAGTTTCAGTTGAATTTTACATGCCAGCTAGAACCCTAGTTTATTAGCCTCCTGGGCTACCCATGCTGGAAAAACCCTGTCTCTTCACCTGGAAAAGTGAGCAGCCAGAGAGCACCTACGACCTCCAGACAGGTCAGAGGCCAGGCCAGAGCACTGTAATGTTGGATCTGCACTTTGGGCAACTTTTTCCACATATTGAGACAAGAGATTCTGATTGGGAAGGTGGCAGCTGGGGCCTGGACAT